AAAACAAAAAGAAATAGGAAACACCTCTTAGTACTTTATATAGAGCGTCACTTTGAGGTGCCTAATTATAACTAGTACAGCAACTAGTTGTAACTAAAGAAATAATTATTTAAAAAAATCAAAACATAAAAAAACATATTTTTTTTCAAATAAAACACACAAAAGGGGTTAGTTCAAAAAAAATAAACAAAATGTTAAGAAAACAAACTTAACATTTATTAGTTACCACAAACAGTTACAAAACATAAAGAAGACAAGAATGTTAAAAAAAAACAATACAAAAATATTACCACGATAGTCGCAAAATACAAAAAACTTATATGCGTTCTAATACTTTACAAATTCAGGAGATGCTACAAAAATTTAATAATGTTACTATGTATAAACTGTGGCAAATATAAAAATTTTTACAAATAAAAAAATTATCTTTTTAAATAATGAAAGCAATTATTACTTTAGCAAAAAATTACTGTCCTTTACTTTGAAAATTAAAACATTAAATGTTACCTTTAAATTCACATATTTTTGCACTTAAACTTCTGAAAATCCTGTAAACATATACAGGTTCACCAAGTGAACCTTTTCCGAACTGGAACAAAAGAAGACCATCTCGGTAATCTAGAATGACGATCAAAGACGACAAAAGAGGTTGTTCAGCAAACAGACACAAACCGAAGTTGTGGTAGGTACACCCTATGTACTGCTTCAAAATTATACCATGTTCTGGTATACTACACAATTTATTTTTCACTGCTACATACTTCAAAAACAGAAAACAACAACTTCGACGTATGAATTTCGATTCATACTCAGCCCATAGCGACCCAAGTAAGAATTTAGATCCATACCTGAGACTACGACGAGCTAAGTAAGAATAACGAACTTACAAATTCGTTCATATAACTTGAAAACAAACAAACGCTGAAATAACAAAACACAACGAAAATTAAAACGTAAAAGATTCCATTTGCGACGTATAAAAATTATAAACGCGACTTCGAATAAAACATTAAAAGAAAATGCCGAGAAAAGTACTTACACATCTTTAAAATAATGAACAACTCTCAAATGGTTTTATTACTTGGCAACGCTGAAAGGAAGGAAATATTATTTGAGTTTCAAATTGAACGATACGAACGAAAGATACATTAAAAGATTTTTCAAACATATATGATTTCAATATATTACATATACGAGGGGATTTCAATATACATAAAAAAAAATCAATGAATTGCAAATGCTACAAGCTCGAGAACTGTTCTACGGATCGTGACATATAAGGCTTTGTCGGAAAGAGAAGAAGGTAGCTAGTACAATTGACAAAAAAACAAACTTATCGGAATTGCCAAAGGGGCATTACATTACATCTTCGTTGTTATTGGTGCTATTGCAGCGTGTGGTACATTAAATGAAAAATGAATGGGAAAACGATTATATTAAGATAAAAAACAAACAAGACGACTACCAAAAAGGCACTGCACAGCATCTTCGTTATTATTGAACGTATGGTTATAGTTATGGTAGATCGGAGCAGGACCCAATTGTAAACCCTTCAGACACTTAGACCTGACTAGTACTAAAGAGCCCTCCAATCACAGGTTTGAGTCCCACAGGCAGAGTAGATGAGAGCTGTATTGCCAGTGCGTCATCCCGTTCGTTCCCCTTCATGCCTGTGTGTCTCGGTACACATACCAAGTTAACCCTATTGGTCAGTGCTTTAAAACTCAAAAACCAGCTTAGAGTATCCTAAACGATGCTAGAATGCATCTAATACATTTCTTCATGTTTTTCAAGAATTTAATATGGATTCTTCGTTAATTCTTTGCCTTAGCTTTTGCAACACTTGCTGGTTTAGTTGTATAAATTTTACTTTTAAAGTAGGCCAAATAAAAATAATCTTTAGGATAAAAACGAGTGAACGAGAAAACTTCTGAAAAATGTCTGATCTAAAGAACGCCGAACAGTTACAACAAAATAAGCTAGAACTTTGTTTTCTTCAAACCGCATCTCATTAAAATTGGCTCCAAACTTATTTTTCAGGGCATATACAATTTCATTACTAAATCTTCTTCTTGTGGTGCCTATCCGTTACGGATGTTGGCAACTAGCATGGCAATTCTAACTTTATTGACCGCAGCTAGAAAATAGTCCTGAAGTGGTCAAGGAAAACCATTTTCGTAAGTTCTGGAGCCAAGATATTCTTCTTTCTGGTCCTCTCTTTCCGGAGACCTTCCCCTTTAAGTTGCAGCAGGTTATATCTATGGTTGTTTCGCATTATATGTCGCAAGATATACTAGCTTGCGCTGTTTCGCTGTGGATATACTTTCACATGTTTTATCCATCCGACGTAGAACCTCAATGTTTGTTATTCGATCCACCCAGGAGATCCTCAGTATCCGTGTATAACAGCACATAGCAAACGCCTCGACATCCACGGGAAAACCGCTAGTTTTCCCATGGATGCCTCGGTTAGTGTCCACGATTCAACCCCATAGAGTAGCATTGTAAACACGTAGCATCTCAATAAACGGATTTTCGTTTTTAAGGGCAGGTCGTTGCTCTCATTACTAAATAGCAGTTCATAATTATTTAAATTTACTGAATTACTCAAATAGGGTGTTTTAGGACTCAAACAGGACTTTTAGGGGTGACCTGAAAAATGTATTATATTTTAGCAAAATTTTGGAATACGTTTAAGTCGTAGAACAATTTTAACAATTGTTTTCGATACATATTTGAGTCCTCTACAAATAGTTTTCCAAGACTTTTGGTGTAAAATAATTAGGGAAGCAGGAATTCAACAATTTAGAATTTCTCATTGAGTTTCCTATGGCCCGTTTGACGATTCACCACCCTGTATAGTGATACAATAATGAATGTAATGTAATATGCAAATTGCCTATTCTCATTATTCTTATCCGCATATTTGTCGGTCTTCCACATGGAGGTAAAAATAACTCTTATTATTTTCTTACTTGTTTTAGTATTTAGTTTCTTGTTTATAAACCATTAAAGTGTGCCTCGTTTACTTTTGCTTTCCGAAAATAGGCTAAATAATATGATGTGCTATTGCCCGATATTAAATTTTAGATGTGAGAGAAGAAGTAATTCATGATATGGCAACACTGTCAATATGTTTTAGCTACAAGCTGTGTTGCCAATGTCCGGATAATTATCCGATTTTCGGATAATTTCGTGGACCATCGGATAATTTCGGATAATTCAAGGGTCTATCGACTTTTCATTTTTAAATATAATTTAAATTTTTATAAGCTTAAATAGTTAAATTTGCGAATGTAAATAGAACTAAAGATGATGGAACTTATGAATTATTTCAGCGCCCTCTGTTGATAAATAGTATAGTTTTGATTGACTGTTTTACTGTACCAAAATCCAGGGATCTTTGAAATTGACAAAACAAAAATCGAATTTCATTTCAATCCAAGTCTAAAAAGGTCGAAATAGTCAAGTAATTCCCCTGTGGCACTTTCTCTATACTTTTTGCCGATTATGTATGTAAACAATAAGTATTTTTTAATATAGGTTTTAAGAGTTAATCATTTGTTAATTTGCTGAATTTATGTATTATTTGTTGTTTTTTATTTAATTAAATATATTTCTATCAAACTAAACTTGTTTTCTTGCCAACATTTGTCATATTAATTGGCATTTGTCATATACCAATGTGTCAATGTCAACTGTCAATTATGCCATTTAATTAGTCTTCTTTTTCGATTTTTATGAATTCGGATATTGTTTCTTACATTCGGATATTTTGCTCCCAACGTTCGGATAATTTCTAGTTTTGCATTGGCAACACTGCAATACAAGCAGTGTCAAGTACATTATAGGTTAAGCGCTTATGTTATTTTTATGTTTACTATACTATAAAAAAACCCGGTTCGCTATTCCCAGTCCGAACTGTCTAGTGATTTAGTAATTATTTTTTTTCGAAGTTAGTAACTTTTTGACAGACTCGAAGTGGCTGGAAAATACTATACAACCAAGCATACGTGCTCTTAGTCAATATTAATGTTAACAAAAGTAAATAAAATAGAACTTTGCCGACAATCAATATTTATTTATTTACACCGTATAATGTATTGATAACAAATAATAAAATTATTATTGTACAAAATAAAAAAGTGGGAATAAATTCTACAAAATTAAGAAGTCAAAGTGAGGTTAAATAAGAATAAGACACAGCAAGTTCCTTATGTATTTACAACATTTACATAATTCGATAAATACATTTTAATGATCAACTTACCTCAACAGGGTTTTCATTCGGTAAAAAAAAATGGTAGGCATTTTGAATAAACCTTTGTGCAGTTTTATTACCTTGTAATCTAGAACAGCATCCTTACTAATCTAAAAATATAACTTTAAAAAAAAACTTTTTAAAAAAACATTTTATCATATTTATTAAGAAAAACTTACCAACGCATTAGCTGATGGAACAAATGAAAAACTTTGACTATCCATAATAATAAAATTTAAAATATAACTAACTAATTAACTGAATAGAACTAACAAAAGAATTAAACAAAGATAATAAAACAATATTCAATTAAATAAACAACGCGAATAATATAAATATTTACTACAATATTTTTAAATTGTAACAATTCAAATATTATATTTTAAATATACAGGGAAAATTTGATGGTTTAGTATACACTTCCACTATTTAGACTAATTCTTCTTTTTTTCAAAGAAAGAGGTCTGGCAATAGTAGTATACTTGAGCTATTATATACTGAGAAGTAGAATTGTTGTGTTGTAGGTTTCCTACAATGAGTCTGTTCAAAATATGCCCTACTAAGCGAATAGACAATATAATGTTATGCCTAACATAAACTCAAACTCTTTGCTTATACCACTACTAAACAACTAGTATAATAAAATATCGATATAGTTAGTCATTAACCGATAAACCTAGTGATTTTGTTTCATTGATAACTACCTATTGTGAGAATAGATAAAATCAAGTTTAATGAAATGGAAGTAAAACAAGAAGTTAATGTGTATATATGTAAAGGAGAAATTGATAATGAGGGCGGTAATGACCTTTGTGATACCCTTAAAATTGAAATTAAAGAGGAGCCCAAGCGGGAAAGTACAAATGATGGATTTGAATATTTAGTATTACCTGAGAACCCTATAAAGACAGAAAAAGAAACATATGAAGATAAACTCATACCATTTGAAGAAAAAGAAACAAGTGAAAAAAGTAAGTAATTTAAACAGTGCTTCGCTTTATAAAATACTGCCTTAGCTTTATATATTCCAATACATTTTTTTGTGGACTGGAAATGTAAAGACTACCTGGTGTGAGTTGGATTCAGAGTAGAATAGTACATCCACATGAATTTCCCTTTTGGAAGTCTTACACCCGGATCCATCCATGGTACCCTGCACATAGTGCCTTTGCCCACCAAATAAAGTCACACTTTTTCTTCTTTTGTTTTTTTTTCTCTCTGTTGTTTATGTTTACCACTGTTGACTCTCTTTCTTCCCACTACAGTAATAAAATTGTGTATTCCTGAAATGCCTATGCTTGTATATACTACATTATAGCTCTGCTCTTTTGTCATTGAATTTACTTTATTCACACACAGTATTCTGCAGTCCACATCATCTATTGCCTTATCTATCCTCTCAAGGTATACTCTATTATGAAAATAGATAAAATTTAATGAAATGCTCTTTTTGATATCCTTAAAATTGAGAAAATTTGTGAAACCCAAGAGGGAAAGTACAAAACATGCATTTGATCATTTAAAAAAGATCCATATTAGAATAGACAAATATGAAAATAAACTCGTAATATTTAAAGAATAAGAAGAAAAAGAAACAAATGAAAATGTATGTCTCAAAATTGTCCAATTTTGTGTGAACTTAACTAAAAAAGTATAAAAATGTTTCAATTTGAATTTAGTTATGCTGAAATACAGATCCCATTTGCAGTTTTAGGTGAAGTTTTAATATTTCCTTATTTAAAACATAAATTTAAAATGTTTTATAATTATTTAAATGTTAATAAAAATCATACAATTATTAATAAATGAAAATAATTTCCAGCCATGAGTCCAGGTCTTTACTTCTTGAAAAACTTACCTAATCCTCTCAAAAACCCAAACACACATTTTTACATCTGTTTTATTTTATCTTCTATCAGAAGAAAATATAATATCTTCTTTTTATGTAGACATGACTATGTGTTTTTCAATGTCCCTCCAATAAGTTGCTGTTCCATCATTTTTGTGGTCTTCCTACCTATAGTCTTGCTATTGGGGAACTGTCTCTTGCAGTCTTTACTACTCTATTTATCAACAGGCAATCACCCAATTACTTAAATACTCTGTTGTCATTTGGCTAATATGATTGTACCATTCTAACTCTTCTATTTCTTACCCAGTCCTTGATGTTTCCATCTTGCATCTATGTCATATATCTGTACTTCTAGCTCAGTCCCATAGTGTTTAACTATCAATTTTTTCAAATTTTTTACTCTGCTGTTTCTAACATTTTTGTCCTCTCTGTGTCAGGTCATGTTTCTGTCGCATATGTCGTTATTAGTATGATTATTAATTTTGTAAAATCTGCCTTTCATTTCTTTCGCCTATTTAATTTCTCCACATTGTTTCATTCTGGTAACCTGCAGCTCTGTTTGCTCTATTCACTTGATCTTCTACTTCTGTTTTGAGCTTTTCCTAGCTAGATAATGTTGTGCCTAGATATTTAAACTCCATCTCTTGTTCTATTATCTGGTCTTCCAGCTCCAATTTACATTTTAGTAAATTTGTTGTTATAATCATACATTTTGTCTTTTGTGGGGAAATTAAAATGTTAAATTTTGTGGAGGTTATATTAAATTGGTACAGCACATGTTGTAAATCATCTTCACTTTGAGATAGTGTATTGGTCATCTGCATAGCAGTTTATTTTAAGTTGTTTTTTCCCATTTGGTATAAGTTCTTTCTTTTTTTATTATTTCATCCATAATTAGGCTGAACAAAAGAGAACTCAGGAAATCTCCCTCTCTTATCAAATCGTGGGCTTCAATATGGTCATTTAGTTCTTGTACTTTTAACTTTATTGTGTTGTTTTGGTAGATGTTTTCGATCATTTTGATTTTTTCTCTTGTGTACAATGAGTACATAACATCTTGTAATTTGAACTGCTCATTCTCGCCTTCTTAAGGTACATGAAGCATACATATTTCGGTTTGTTGTATTCTAATGATTTCTCTTGCACTTGCCTTATTATAAAGTTAGCATCAGTGCATGATCTTCCTGATGTTAAACCTTGTTGTTCTTCTGCTAATGTTATAATGTCAATTAATTTATTTGTTATCACTTTTGTTGTTCATTATAGTGTTGTGTTTAATAAATTAATTTATCTGTAATTTTCAGGGACCAATTTGTCTCCCTTTTTGAAGAGAGATATTAGGATGTTTGATCTCCATTCTTAAGAGCTTCTGTTTTTTTCTATTACTTTTTGGATTAGTTTTAGTAATTGTTTAGTTAGATCTGGTCCTCCATACTTTAGGAGTCTGTTCAGTATTCTGTCCTCTATTAGTGATTTTCTGTATGGTCATTTCCTCAATCATTCCTTTACCTCTTCCTCCTTAATGTTTATTTCTTTGTTTGCTGTCACCTCTGGTGTTGGTGGTTCATTATCGTCACCTTTAGTAAATAATAATCGCAAGTAGTCTGCTGATGTTTCTTTCTGATGTTGGTTTAACTGCAGAATTTGGTTAGAGATGTGGTTTATCGTGTATTTTGTATCGTGTAAGTGTGTTGCATCGAGTGATACAAGGGACTCTTTGTTCTAGTAATCGTAATAGTTCCGTATACTCGCCGTTACTTCCCTGAGTTCCTCAGTTGTTTGAATCGGGCGTCCATCTATATTAATGGACACTCGGAACAACCGGGTTGAGTGTAAGCATACCGAGTGGTTATTAATCTCCTCTAACAGGAGATTAATACTCACTATTAATAACTCGACTACTGTATTTGTATGAGTTTTAAGTTGAGATCTTTTGAGGGTTTTGTGACGTAAAAGTGTTTGTGTATTGTGTAATTTGTTTGATCTTATATTTTAAAGAGCTGCCTGAGTTTAAAATGTCTAAGAAAATTTGTAGTTGGTTGCAATACTCTGTGATTTATGGAGTGACTATGAATGATGAGTTTTGATGTGTATTTTAATGTGTGTAGTGTCTTTATTATGTGTAGTTAGGAATTTGTGTGTTATATGTCGTGTCAGTGTTTTGAATGTCAGTTGATGTGTAAGTTTTTTGAATGTCAGATCTGAAATGGTCCAGACTATGACATGGAGGATGGAGGATTGTGTGTTTGTGGTTGGGTGATGAAAACGAAATATATGGTCATTAGCAGAAACCCTCCAGAAAACCCGATAATATGCATAGGTGACAATCATATAAATCGCGTGAAAACTTTTAAATACCTTGGCACCACAATCAATGACCAATCGGATCCACAACACGAGATAAAAACCCGAATACAAATGGCAAGACAAGCTTTTGTAAAATTCAGACCGCTCCTATGTAATCAACACCTAAACTTCGAAATACGCTACAGAATGGTCAAGTGCTACATATGGTCCATCTTGCTTTATGGCATGGAAACGTGGACTTTGAAAAAAATATCTATCAACAAACTTGAAGCATTTGAAATGTGGTCATTGAGAAGAATGATGCGCATACCTTGGGTGGATAGAGTTCGAAACGATGACGTCCTTAATAGAGCCGGCGTGGAAAGAGAACTCTTTGAATTAATTAAAAAACGCAAGATTGGTTACCTTGGGCACATATTGAGAGGAGCAAAATATGAAATACCACAGTTAATCCTACAAGGGAAGATCGAAGGTAGGAGAGAAGCCGGCCGCAAACAATTATCCTGGTTAAGGAATATTAAAGAATGGACAGGAATACACAATACAGGTGAGCTGTGTCACGCCGCCAAGAACAGAATTCTAGTAATGAGATAGTCGCCTACGCACTTTGGTGTATGGCATGTTAAGAAGAAGAAGAGGTTGGGTAATATGTAAACGGAGGTACCTCGAATTGTGAGGCATATTTTGGCTAGATGCAGTGCTTTTTATTAGAAGATGGCTATTTTTAAGTAAAAACTTCTTTAGCGATGTTTTTTGATGGGAAACAAATCATTACATACGCGACAGATTTTTGCGACCGTCATCAATACGTAAATTGTTCGAAAAGTAGCACAGCTTGTAACGAATTTATTTTTGCCTTCCACACGGGGTATTAATACAAGGGATAGAAAATTGGGCACTGAAACTAAGGGGGTGGAGATAGGGCAAGCAAAATAAACGCTACTTGTTCGAACGGCCCTCAGAGTTTGGTAGGAGAGCTGAGGTCGTGGATAAGTAAAAGATAAGGGGGTTGGATTGGAGCAACTACAAAAAAAATGAAATAAAGGGGTACTCATACAAATCTCTTGGGACAAACAAAACAAAAAGAAATAGGAAACACCTCTAGTACTTTATATAGAGCGTCACTTTGAGGTGCCTAATTATAACTAGTACAACAACTAGTTGTAACTAAAGAAATAATTATTTAAAAAATCAAAACATAAAAAAACATATTTTTTTTCAAATAAAACACAAAAAGGGGTTAGTTCAAAAAAAATAAACAAAATGTTAAGAAAACAAACTTTAACATTTATTAGTTACCACAAACAGTTACAAAACATAAAGAAGACAAGAATGTTAAAAAAAAAACAATACAAAAATATTACCACGATAGTCGCAAAATACAAAAAACTTATATGCGTTCTACTACTTTACAAATTCAGGAGATGCTACAAAAATTTAATAATGTTACTGATGTATAAACTGTGGCAAATATAAAAATTTTTACAAATAAAAAAATTATCTTTTTAAATAATGAAAGCAATTATTACTTTAGCAAAAAAATGTCTGTCTTTACTTTGAAAATTAAAACATTAAATGTTACCTTTAAATTCACATATTTTTGCACTTAAACTTCTGAAAATCCTGTAAACATCTCCGGGGCAGAGGAGATGTATACAGGTTCACCAAGTGAACCTTTTCCGAACTGGAACAAAAGAAGACCATCTCGGTAATCTAGAATGACGATCAAAGACGACAAAAGAGGTTGTTCAGCAAACAGACACAAACGAAGTTGTGGTAGGTACACCCTATGTACTGCTTCAAAATTATACC